GTGCTAAGTGAAAATGATTGTATGTTCATTAAAGGTTATGTTGTAAATGGCCTTAAACAGAATTTTAAAAGCAGCCTTGGAGAGAACATTGGACATGATAATGTTCACCATATTTTCACCATATCAGTACTCTGAAGAGTGAGTATTTATAGGAATCTGTGTTATGGCAGAACTATTTATAATTTAATTGAGTTTTACCTACTTTATCAGTAATGACTTGTCAAGATTTTGGGAAATTTATATCACCTGTTACTTGATCTTTTTAACTGAAGACTCCAGGGATTGAACATAGCCTTATATGCATCCAGTGCATTGCTATCTGTCACTGATGTATGGCTCCTCTCCTAATAGACTCAATCCTTCTTAAGCCTAATTAAATCAGTGGGCTAAAGAACACAACAGTATTGGCATTGTCTTTCTCTGTTTAGTTGCAATATATGTGTGGAATTGTGTTATCAACAGAGAATAAACAAAATGTAGCTTCTAAAACTTGGAAATTATAGAATCATTAAAGGGTAGGGGGAATATAAAACAAAATGTAGTACACGAAACAAATCCATAGACAGAATTCAAAAGAACATTAAGATTTTTAACTAATAGATTGCTAAAAGAATGTATTCCTTTACTCTTTATTTAATTGCTTATTATAAAAATATATTAAATACACATCTACAATATTTTTCTCCTGTTCCTTTCTGTTGAAAATATATATTCCCACTGAGTGATAAAACAGGAAATAAGTACTTTTTATACTGTAGCTAGACTAATGAATGTGTATCATTTCAGCCATCTGAATGAAAAGGTATAGATCTACTTATGTGAAGAAGAGCTGTACCAACAGTTATTTTAAAAATTGAGTGATTACATATAAACAGAGAGCTTCTAGTCCCATATGAATGTAGGTGTGTGGGTGTAAGTGTGTGTGTATATATATACACACACACATGCACACACACATATACATACACTTCTCTTCCATACATTTACTTAAAAGTAAGGACATTGACCAGTAGCTTCAGATACAGGTAATCCTTAAGTTATAAACATTCATTCAGTGACTGTTCAATGTTATGGCATCACTGAACGAAGGGAGATATCACTGGTCCCCCACGTTACAGCTGTTGCAGCACTCCTGCAGTTATATGATCAAAATTTGGCACCTGGCAGCTTGCCAGCACTTATGACTGCAGGGATGCTTCAATTTCCATGTCCCCCTGCCTGCCTGTTCCCATCTATGCCTTTTTGGCTCCCTGCCATCCATGCCACATGCCCCTTGCCACATGCCCCTTGGCTAACCTTTGCGGTCTTGCTTCCACTGACCATACATGTCCAGCCTGACCCTTCACGAAGCAGCTGCTGGCTGCATGAGGCTTTCTTTTCCAGGTCATATACTGCAGTTTACTTGCAAGACCTGGAAAATATGGACTTGTGGCAGCAATTGCTTCATGAAGGCCAGGGTGGAGCTGCCTCATCAGTGGCAGCAGAAAGAAACTGGAAAAAATCAGCTGAGGCTGTGGAGTGACAGGGACCTCGGAGTACAGGGTAACTAGCTGGGACTGGGCTGAGGTAGCCCAGGATGGTTGTGGCTTGTACCACACTGTTGCTCCTGGTATTTCCCAGGGCACAGTGGCTTTGCATTGTACTGTTGGGATGACCGAGGCTTCCAGAGACAGCTCAACTTTGTACTGTGCTGCAGATGAGAAGCTTTTTGCTGACCCAGAGTTGCAGTACACCAAGATGCCCTTGAGTGCAGAGTGGGAAGCAGCCCAAGAGTTGTTAGGTTCTGGGTTTTTTTTATTGCCCCGAAAGGTAGAGTACAGTAAAAGGCAGTGATAGGGGGAGTTCCTTACTTTACTGAGATTCAGAACTGGGATGGACCAAACCTAGAATGGCTTAGATTGGGGTCCCAGGCTATCAACCAGTGGAATTCAGTTAACGATAGCAACGGGAGTGCAATTATTGCTAACAATAGCAATGGAAGTGCCATTATTGATTGCTGTCAATAAGTGATCTGGTCACTCAGTGTCATTCTTTATGGTTACATTGCTTAAGCAATGGAACTTCTGATACCATTTGTGAAAATAAATCAAGGACTACCTGTATTAATGATTTGGTCATTCCTACACCACCCCCCATGCATAGCATTCTGAATCTTGCTGGTGCTTGTTATGATCAAGGAAGAATTTGCCCAGAAGGAATTGTTGGAAATAGTTGGAAATTTGGAAATGAATATGCATTTAGTGTTGGATTGGAGAGGGGGACATCATTTCAGATGAATTCAATATTCAAATACAAGAGAGAGGGTGAGGGAGGGGGGGGACTGACAGTATTTTAAGAGTAGCAACAACAATTCAAATAGCTATAAAATGTTATCAGTGCAGGCCAGAGTGTTGTCTTTTCCTTTTTTTAGTGAAGGGATTGCTGCTTCTGCCAGTGGCTTTTCCTGGCAGTTGACTTTTGGCACATCAGTATTGTTCAAATAAACTTTTCCAAAGACATAGCTCCTTGATTGCTAACTTAAAGCTAGTCATATGGAGACTGCTTATCTAGCTAGCCAGTATTTCATGTACAGTTGCATGCTTCATAGCTTCAACCATAACAAGAGCTGTGGCAAAATGCTGTCTTTGTGGGATTAGCAGCTGCCCAGGCAGAGTTTATGTTTTTTAGGAGGTTGCTTGTTTGCGTAAACTAGTCTGTAATCCATGTATGTTAACAAAATATAATACAATAAGGTTGCCAACAAAACAAAAAACAACTCTATTAGAAAAGTCTAGGAATGAAACTAAACTTGGCAGGCAAATTGAAAAGCCAAAGAAAAAGGAAAGATTTTTTCTATACATGAGGCTGTATTTTTAAATATAAAATATAATTTATATGGCTTTTCCCTTAATAGATAAAGAGCAAACCCACCACAATCATTACAATGATCATTTTTCATAAACAGTATTAAAATGCATAAAATAACATGTTACTTCCAAGCTAGCAAACCTGATGTATCTATATGGTAATCATAGTGCATGTATAACAGTACCTGAAAGATGTTAAAATACAGACTATTAGCGTCTATTAAATACATGGGCAATAAAAGAAATATTCTTATTGATTCCATTTCATATCTTTAAAAATAGTTTTTGTTTGCATTTTGGGGGCTTAAGTTTAAGAAAAAAATAACCTAGTCTAGGTTATATAGTCCTGAAATCATATGTGAAAAACAAAGAAACAAAAAACATTTGCATGGGAAGCCAAGTAGAAGTGTTTACTGAAATTAGACAAAAAGACTAGTCAAGATCATTTTCCTGTATTTCTTTTCTCTGATGCAATATATCCCTTTAAGCATTTCTATTTTTGAATGGAACCAAGAACCAATTTAGTAGTTGGTAGTTAAGGGCACCAGGAGATAGTGAGTTCCAGTTCTCTCTTGGGCACAAAGTGGCGAGGTGACCTTGAGACAGTCAGTCTCTGTCAACCCTAGAAAAAAGTTGGCAAAGCTCTTCTGAAATTGCCATGAAAACTATAAAAGCCTATGTAGTTGCCAGAAGTAAGACTGATTCAAAGGCACCTCCCCAAACCCACTCTGAACTACCGATAGTTCCCTTATATGACCAGGCCATCTTAAGTCTTCCTTGTATAGGCTAATCATATCCATTCTTGAATTATAAATGAGAAATTCTCTATAAATGTTTTTACACTATTATTTATATGCAATTTGTTCGTGGCTTTTAGAGCACGCAGATGTACTCATTTTTTTTTAATTGGAACATAACTTATTCCATGCAAAGATGGAATGATGTAGCCAAATTAGATCTATGTATAATTTTTCTAAGAGATAACAGCATTTTCTTTTAGGATTAGGACATGGCTACTGAAGTTTATAACTCAAACATCTGGTTTATGAAAGGTATCTGTTGAAGTGGCTATTTATGAGCACCGATTCCTAAATGGCCTCATTTACTACTCAAATATATAGCATCCTTCATCATCTTATTTCTTTTTTGATTTTGAAGCAGATCTTTTCCCCATTGGCCACAAGGGCAGGATGATGTTTCCTGAAAGTAATGTAGTAATTAGAATGTTCTTCCATTTGTACTCATTGGAAAACTTGAAAACATTTCCATGATCGAAAAGTATGAGAATTAAACTGATATTTTTCATGACAGTTTCAAGAAAAATGCCATTTTTCTGGATTAAAAAAATAGGTAACCTAGAGAAGTTAAATAAGTCACAATGAATGGCTTAAAGACATTTTTTCTTAACTGTAAATAGCAATTTCTTATGTTTTCTCATGTTAAATATATATTTATAAAGTTACATAACTGCATTGTGTAAAATCACTGGTACCTATCATGGATTTTATTTTGCTTAAAACATATTTTAGGACTTTGCTCAGTGTTATGGAAGCATATAGAAACTTAGGCATGAATAATAACGAAACTAGCCAATGGTTAAATTTGTTTGTACTCTATGTACTCTAAACTTTCTAAGATAGAGAAATCTGATGTTCAAACAAATACATTTAAACACTTGGCATCATTAAAAATGTGATGATGATCTTTGCCAATAATTCACTTTATCTGTTTTTACACAAATTCTGTAACATCTGTTTACATAAAAATTCACTATAAACTTTTAATTGTTCATTTTGGCCAAGAATTTTTATGCTTCCATTCCAGTTGTCATAAACTAAATGTAATAATTACAAAATAAATGTAGAAATAAAACCCTACATTTGGGATTTGGTAAGCAATAAAATAAATACATGTGTCAAGTTCTTTTCTTGATTGCACATTTTATATTGGAAGCTAAAATGTCACAAAACATGAAAATAAATGTCTATCATCGTTATTGGTGTCAGTATTATTATTTAGTAATTTACCATCAAATTCTAATTACAACAAGAAGGTAGCAATTCCAAGTCAAGAAAGCCTTCACTTTCAAAAAAGTTGATGAAAGTTTTCTGAATACTTTACTGTTATATAAAGTTATACATCCATGCCAAGCTATTCAACATCACATAGCAACAGTCTTTTATTAGGGGCCAGGATGTTACCATCAGTTCATTGAGGATGGAACTATGTAATTAAGTAAAAATTCCAAGATGGAAGAATTAACATAAATATTTGTGTTTATAGTATGAAGAAGACGTTTCAGTTTTTGAAGCTGGGAAGAAGGAAGGAGTGAGAGTATTTTCCATTTTAGAAATACTGAGGCACAAAACACAGTTGCTTCTAGAATTTTCATACATGAAATCCTTTGTCCTGTATGTGCATCATGTGTAACCGTAAAGTCTGTAAACTGCTCACTATTCGTCTCTGATGTCCAATAAGAACAACTCCAATTCTTCTAATGTCACTGCAAGATAAAGGTAATGTTGGGAAATATTGGGTGAAGTACAGAAAATACAAAAACAAATTGTTCCAAGCTGTTTTTAAACCTGAAATATTGAATATATTAAACCTGAAATATTGAACATAATATATTTTGTTCTTTAGCCTGAAAACTGTTAGAAAATGGATACTGGATATTAAACATGTTGAGTAACTGGATTTGAAATGTAATGAAAGTTTGTGTTTTTGACTCTGGTATGACCAAAATGCAAATTTTCATTACATTTCAAATCCAGTTACTATTTTTCTATGGGGAATAAATATTTGTTTATTTAACCGATGCCTGGCATTTATCCTTGCACTTTCTAAAATTCCAATCTTACCCACTGTCCTATAAAAGTTAGAAATCCTAATAAATAATGTACTTACTCAATACTCATTCTTGAAACAAGATCCATAGATGTGTACCCTGCTGCCATGAAATTAGCTTTGTATTGGCCCATTTTTATTGAGTCCAGCCAATCACTGACTGATACAAAGAAGGGATATTCTGGAATTTCACCAGGTGAATCTGGCATTCTGTGAAAAGAACAATATATTATTGATTTAGTTTTATGATACCTTTTTAGTACATTCGGCTGACAATTAAACATTACATAAGCTGTAAAATCATATATTTTCCTTTGGAGATTCTCAGCCATCTAGCTCATACTGTAGTTGTCTCAAATGAGGTTTTTCAAAAGGCAACTCAACTTTTTTTTCCTTGAGGAAAAAGAAGAAAACAAAACAAAATTCCTGCCAGAACCTATCCTTCCATCCCCCGTGAGCAAGTCTCAACTATCAGTGTCTATCAGTCCAGCCCCACTCCCCCAATCATATCTGATGAAACTTCTTGGATGAGAAGTGAAACATTTTCTTCTTTAAGGAAAAAAGAAAAACAATCCAGTTACTTTTTGAAAAAGCACCTTTGAGATCTTTTCCTGTAAGAATATTTCTTGTAATTGGAGAATATTTCTTACCTTAGAGTGTAACTATTCCATATTATCATTAATTAAAATAATCGTTACTGTTCTGTTTATTTCAGGTTTTCAAAGTCTACTGGAACAAAATACAAATGTTCTTTATATATATAATTTTAGACTGGACTACTTTCCTGCAGTTGCAACAGAACTGGTCTTCGAACTACTCTACTTACAAAAGTCCACTATAATTTGCTTAAGAGAAAAGAAGGGATTCTCTTGCGAGAAGCAGACAGAAATAACTGAATAATTTGATCTTACGAATTCAGTATAGGTGGAATAAGAGAAAGGTATAGAATAGAACCTTGAAATGCTCCAAAATTTGCACCTTTCAAGTGTTTGGTAAATAGTTTATAGCTTAAAATGTTGTTCTGAGAGAAAAATACATTTTAAAAAATATTTCAGTATATATTTTAGACGGACATTTTTCCATTTAAAATCCAAAATGGGCAGAGTAGATTGGCAAAAACATTGAAACCCAATAATATAGGGTAAATAAAATCCAATCTGAAGATTTATGTCTAATTTTATCTCTAATTTTGCAATAACTGTTTTGTATAAGGGCCTGTCTACTTTCAACAACTATGGCTCCTCTAAACAACTGACAGAGCATTTAAAAATAAAAATAATTCACTGCTACAAATTAGGAGAAAAGCATTGTTATCTCTAAACATTTCCATTTAGCAGTTTAAATAAGAAACATTGTTGAGAAATGTAATTTCCATGGGGCTGTTAAGGACAAAGTAACAGCTAGAAGTCCCCTAACAATATCTGCTGTAACTGCCAGAAAATTCAGATCTGCAAAATGATAACCACAAATCATGTAAATGATCTACTGAAAAGTTTGGTTGACAGTAGATTAGTTGTCCGTAGGTTTATTCTACAATATTGCTTATATAACAAGGATCTCTATGAAAAGTTCTTAAAAAGGAACAATTTTCCCGAATCTCATCACAAAAGTCGTCATAAAAAAATACAAAAGAAAACCTTGATAAACTTTAAAAAATGTAAGAACTTGAAATCAAGTGCTTTGGACTGACAAAAGAAAAACAACTATTTTGCCATAACCATAAAGGATCTACTTGTATAAATGTGAAAAGAATACTTTAAGCTAACTATTAAGCTTATATGTTGTGCTGTATATGGATCGGGATACTGCCTCATCCAGGACTAGAAGGAATGTTACATAAATGGAGAAAGTAGATTCGGCTAAATCTCAATATAATCTAGAAATTAGTATTCCTCAGTGAAGTGACTCTGGGCGTTTTCACAAGACAATAATTATAACCATATCTCCAAGTGAACTATGAAACACTAACAGCAAAGAAAAATAAAGATTTCAGAATGGCTTTCAAACTTGAATAGTATTGACAATCTTTTAGAAGATGTTAAACATGCAGCACATGCAAGGAAAGCTGAGAATATTTTTGAGTTGGAAGAATTCTAAAAGTTAAAGTCTTGAAAAAATCTGTGTGATGGAATAAAGAAGAATTGAAGAGAAATTAAATTCTATGACAATATTTGATTGAATTAAAAATTAAGACTGTTAGAAGTAAAAGAAAGGAAAATAAAGTTGGTTTAAATGATCAAGGTTAAGATAAGACTCCCTATCTAAGATAAGATAAGATTTTGGAATATTCGGGCAACTCTTTATGGACATTTTACTCCAAATTAATGTTTTATGGATTTGCTTATAGATAGCGGATAGGATATGGGGTAAGAGATACCTGTTATAGGGATATAACAGTTATATACTGTTATATACAGATATCTTATAGGGAGTAAATAATTATTACATTTGTTTATACTGGTGATGAAGTCTGGAAATAACTTCTTTATAATATTTCTCTTCTTTTTCTTTATTACATTCTTTTTCTTTTTTTTTCTGCATGTTTTCTTCTTTATTATTGTTTTCCCCTGCTCTAAATTTAGTTTGTATTTTTTTACTATTGTAATTAAAATTATTAATAAAATATATTTTAAGAATTCTGCCAGGGGAAGAGTTTAGCAGGAAGATAGCAGGCTATAATGATTCTTTGGAAGCTGTTATTTCTGTCCAAAAGGTGTTACAAAGTACTGATTGGAAAGGTGCACTTTCCATATACACTGTTTTCTTGTTTTTGAGAAAAGATTCTACATGAAGTGGACAGATCCTATGCCCTAGCAATAACATTGCTATGGGCACTACCAATGTGCCACACTTGAAAATAAAAAGGCTAAATCTAGGATCAGATGGAAAACATTCCTTCCATATCAGTACATATAAATCTGACATTAGCTAGCATTATTATTATTATTATTATTGTCATTATCAATTATCCAAATAAAAGAATATAAAACATATAAAAAGATAATACTCAGAAGTATAGTATGTGATGATGTGTTTTAATCACAGCAACAACGAAGTTAGTCAAAGTGCTGGGAGGGCAAGCAGAATCAGAAAGTACAATAGAAACTTGTCTAATAAATGTCTGATATTCAATTCTGTCATAGAGCAACAAAATAGGACAATTCCACATGTCTGTATAGAAATTACAGTGCAGCATAGGAATAAGGGAAACTAAGGAGAATAGTTTCAGTCTTCTCTGAATCACAACCAACCTATTTGGCTAAGGGGATTTTGGAGTAGGTGCCCAGTTAAGAGTGTTGACGGTTGCACATTATCCTGGGGTTGAAAGAAGTTCTTCCTGAAGCTGAAGAAGATAAGACTTCAACATTTGGCTGCTACATGTTTGGCCTTGGCTCCCGGCTGAAGATAGTGGAGGATTATATCATGCAGATATAATCCTATAGGATAGTTACCCGTGTTTTCCCGAAAATAAGACCCTGTCTTATATTTTTTTGAACCTTGAAATAAGTGTTTGGCCTTATTGCCATGTACTCAAAAGCTTTATTATCAGAGGATGTCTTATTTTGGGGGAAACAGGGTAATAAGGGACCTTTGAACCAATATTGGGGTATATATAAATGTGCATTAAAGCTTTTGTGACTTTATTAATTTACACACAGACAGACCCAGTACAAGGAATTTCCTTATGCAGTTTTCCATAGACTTTGAATGAATGTGAGAAGTTACAGGAACTACAGACCGCTAGACATATGATAGAGTCAAATCTATCTGCCATAAAGGAAACAAAAAGGAATGATGATGAAATAAAATCTCTAATGCAGAAACAAAATCATTATATATTATGTAATTAACATGGCAATTTGAAGGGTGGCAGTCATGTATGCACATACAAAAAAGCATAGTGAAATAGTTCTTACATTAGTACATCCTCCACTAAAGTATGAAGAGAGCTGGGGTTTCGTATCAATTTATCTAAGAAGCTGACAATGTCTGTGAACTTTGGCCGATGGCTTCTTTCCTTTTGCCAACAATGAAGCATTAGTTGATGGAGGGCAGCCGGGCAGCCCATTGGAGCTGGAAGCCTATATCCTTCTTCAATGGACAGAATGACCTATGTAGAAAGTGGGAGAGAAGATTTATTTATTTAATTATTTGTATCCTGCCCATCTCGCCAAAGCATAGGGACATTGAATGAAATGCAGTGTAAAACATTAAAACAATAAATAAGGATCTTAAATTTAAAATTCAGTTAAAATAAAACCAAGCAGGATAGAGAGGGAGGGAGCAAAATGCACCCAGGGAGGAGGTGGGGTATTTTCTACCCCATTATTCAATTCCAAAGTGCCACACCCCCATTGGGATCCCAGACTAGTTAGCACATGGGTGTCAAACTCAATTTCATTGAGGGCCACATCAGGATTATGTTTGACCTGGGGGCTGGGTGGGTGTGGTCAGCTCAACATCACTCGTGCTGGAAGGATCCATTGTCTCCAGTGAAGGTGAGACCAGGGAGAGTGCCAAAGCCTTGTCCTCCAGAGGAGCCTTGCCGTCCCTCTCAGGCCACACAGAGGACCCCTGGACGGTGGCGCAGACTGTCCTGAGCCCTAGGCTGCGGAAGACAAGCACTCATCCTGGCTCTTGAGCTCCATGGCACTAAGACCCCACAGCCCAGCGTAGCCCTGCTTCCTAGAGGAGGTGCCCGGCTGTGCTTACCTCCTCCTCGCCGCTGCTGCTACTGTGCTTACTCTCCTTGGCCAGGTTGCTCATGGTGTGTGCAGGAGGGCAAAGTGTGTGAGTCAGAGGGAGGCCCACTCCCTCTCCATGCATGGAAACCAAGCATTGTAACCAAAGCATCCTCAGCAATAGGATGGGAGACCACCAGGAGAGATCAGGAGGAGGGGACAAGGGGATGGCAAAAGGGCAGCAGGGCTGCTGGTGGCCAAGTGCTAAGGCAGGACCTTCCTTCCTTCCTTCCTTCCTTCCTTCCTTCCATCCTTCCTTCCTTCCTTCCTTCCTTCCTTCCTTCCTTCCTTCCTTTTCTTCTTTTTCCTTCCCTCTTCATTCTCCTTTCTTCTTCCTTTCCCTTTTTCCTTCTTTTTCCTTCCTCGGTCTCTTCCCAACTTTCTTTCTTTTTCTTTCTTCTTTCCCTTTCTCCTTTCCTGTCCCTTCTTGGATGCTCAAATGCAAAAGGGGAAACATTTCTCCTTTTGTTTTGTTTTGATTTTAGTTTGTTTTGCTAACCCTCTGCCAGCGAAAATGGAGGTTGGTGGGGCTGCGTGTGCTCCCCAGCCCCATTTTTGGCCTGGATGGCCTGCAACCCGGGATGGCCATGCAGGCTCCGTTTTCACTGACAGAGGGCTGCAGGAGGCCATCCAGGCCGAAAATGGGCCTGGGGGGGGCGCATGCAGCCCCCAACCTCCATTTTCGCTGGCAGAGGTACCACAGGCCAGTCCTTCACTGTTTCTAGGGTGGCCCCACCGGCCAGATATAAGCACCCTGTGGGTTGGATTTGAGTTTGACACCCCTGAGTTAACACAACTATATCTTCAAGGCCTTTCAAAAGCAGGTGCGGTGGGAGTAGATCTGACTTTGGGGAACAAGGCATATATCATGGTCCTACTCCGAATTTCCCCTTAACTGTAACCGTATAAAGTCATTCAGCCAGCTTTCCTGCCTTACATTTGTTAAACCAAAACAAACTACACCAGAATTTTTGGCAAGGGTTCTCAAACTTTAGGTCACCTATGGCTTAATAATATTTTTAAACTTGATCAAGCTTGCTCGGACAAAGTGAGAGTGCTGTCAAAATTCTGAGATTTGCTCCTCATTTGCAGTTGATAATTGTCATGCCAGAATATTGGAGAAACACTGTGAAGTATAGATTAAAATTTAATTATTAAAAATAAGTGGTATATTTCTTTCTTGCCCTCAATTTTATTTATGGTGTATGAAAATCAAACAAATTCATTTATCATTTAGGGGTAGCACAATGTTTGAGAACCATTTGCTTATGGCTAGGCACAAAAAGGAAACTGCTGATGTATATTATATGCTATGGGTAGTCCTTGGATTAGGACCATTCATTCAGTCACTTTTAAAGTTGCAACGGTGCTGAACTACTGGTACTTATGACAGGTCCTTGTAGTTCTGATGAACACAGCATCCCCATAGTCAAATAATGATTTTCAATTATAAGCAAATGCAATTGGGAAGCCAATAGGAAATTGAAAGTTTTAGTTGCATGTGGTTCTCACCTATCAGTGGCAAGTGGAAGTACTGGAACTGCAGATGTTAAGCGATGCAGTCTCATGGTATTGTGTTTTACAATCCCCACATGCTAAATAATCATGCTAAAAGAGATTGCAGTAGAAATGGACAATGAACAAGAGTTTCACTTCTATCATGAAACTTTTGCTTGGCTTCAATTATGTTTCTCCCCAGGTATTAATCTTTGATGTCAATGCTAAGAATACTAAATAATTTGCCTATAGAAATAGAATTTCAATGGTACTTATTCAATGGCAATTTTAATCAAATTAGTTGCAGTTAATAGTGATAAGTGGGGAATCAATTTTTATTTTCCACTTTCTAGTAGTATGTTGTAATAACAATGATTCCTATGCATGTTTAGTCTGAAGCCAGGTGTCATGGTCCCGTTGGAGCTCGAGTCTGAGAAGGAGGAGGAGGAGATGGAGCTGGGGCCAGCACAGAGGAATGGTGCAGTCCCTATGGCTCAGGAGGAATGACCTGAGACCAAGGATGAGGCACTCCCAGGTCCATTGGGCCTCAGAAGAGTAGGCAGAGAGGAAGAGAGGGCTCAGGCTGATCAAGGAAGGGGGAGGAGACAGAAAGGGCAGGTAGTGGAGCAGAGGAGTGGTGGAGCTCTGGAGATGAGCAAATACCTCTCCTGCCCGATCCATAAGTGCGAAGAATGGAGAGACGGCAGAGTCAGCGAAGGGTGACCCAACTACTCAGGAGGAGAGGCTTTTGCCAGGAACAAGTGTTTGTTTTCGGATTGGACTGTGACTCCCTCAGCTGTGACTCAGACTGCTTTGTTTCAAAGATTGTTTTTGCTTTATTTTGAGGACTGTTCTTGGCTTGCCCTAGCCCTGAAGATTCTCCGTTCAGACCTGCCTTGCCTTGGACCCTGTCTTATTTCAAGAAGTGCTCTTGGCCTTTTGGTTTGAACTGTGCCCTTGTTTGCGAACTGTGCTTGTCTGTTGTTTCACTGTGCCCCTTTGGAAAACTGTTCCTTGTCTTGGACCTTTGCTTGCTCTGAGCCCTGCCCTTGCTTTCTGTCTAGACTTTTGCTTTGTAGACTGGTCGGGTAATTTATGGGCTGTTATTTGGGGGACTGAGGGTGGAGCCTGGCCGGTCAGTGGAGGGTCAATTGTTTAATCCTTTCCAGGAGAAATAAAAGACTCTCGGGAGGCCTGCCTAGTCTTGCCCACCTGGATCATAACATCAAATCTTATTCAGTAGGACTTATTACTAGGTGTGCTCCTGATGATTGTAGATTTTTTTTTCTTTTCAATAAGCAATGGAATAAATGCATCCTGAAAACAATAATCTGTAATAACCAGTTAAAACTTACATCCTGATTAGACATCTCCCAATACGGTCTTTCTCCATATGACATTACTTCCCACATAACAATGCCATAACTCCATGCATCGCTTGCAGAAGAAAATTTCCTGTAGGCTATAGCTTCAGGAGCTGTCCATCTTATTGGTATTTTTCCACCCTGAAAATATATATTGAAAAATTCTCAGTATTTAAAACTAATGAAAAATACTCCTCACTGAATAATCCTACAAACATATTAAAATAAATGAAATTCATAATTGATGTCAGAAATATTCTTATACAGTAATTCATGTATTAACATAATATTCCTTATATAATAGTGTATCATAACTGAAAACTAAATTTAGTTCTTTAAGGCATTTAATATTGTTAACCATATTCAGGCTGAGTAGATGGCAAATGATTGTCTTCACTTTGATCATGAATTAAATTTATTTATTTATTATTTTATTATTATTTTATTAATTTAATTTATATACCGCCCTTCTCCCAAAGGGACTCAGGGCGGTTTACAGCCAGCATAAAACCCACAAATATAAAATTTAAAAAACAGTCTAAAAATATTAAATAGTTTGGCCCATAATTAAAATAAACAACCCAATTTAAATAATTTAGGAAGAATAAAATTTAAAGATTAGGCCAGCCTGGCTTGTTGAAATAAGAGCATCTTAAGGGCCCGGTGGAAGGTGCGCAAGTTAGGGTTAGGGTTAGGGTTAAAGTGCCATCATTACTGTTTTCTTTGAAAGTTTATATTCAAAGTATGATGCAGAATATCCTTCTGAAATAAAGTTTGTTCTCAAATCTATATATATAAAAGCGAAAACCATTCATGCATTAATCACGAAATCTCCAGATTTCTAGGTGCTCAATAAGAAAGGATTTTTCGAAATGGCCATCAGAGCATTAGTAGTCCCTATATTATTATAACACATTCTGATGCTAATTATTTAGATGTTCTATTCCCCCTCCCAACTTGAAAATAACTCTGGAGAAAATGGGATAGCATAGGACAGGCTTCTGTGGGGCAAGCCTCATGGAGAGAAGGGGCTAGAAAGCCTGAGGGAGAGAAGGGGATAGGATAGGAGACGTTTCCGTGGGGCAAGGCTGAGGGAGAGAAGGGGAGAGGAAAGGCTTCTGCGGGGCCAGCCTGAGGGAGAGAGGGGAGAGGCTTCTATGGGGCAAGCCTGAGGGAGAGAAGGGGATAGGAGAGGATCTATGGGGCCAAGCCTAAGGGAGAGAAGGGGAGAGGTTGATCGTAACTACTCATTAATTTTCAAACTCTGTCGATTTATCAAGCCAATCACATAGTTTCGCAGCGGAGCATGGGTATTCAGCTAGTACTATATATTTATCTAAAATGTATTGTGGCTCATCTGTACTTTGTAGTTATTATTTTCATAACATGTCTTCTACTTTTGCAAATATTGTTCTAAAATATGCACATTGGTTAAATTCAAATCTAAACCATTTCTGCTTATAAATCATGTTTGCTAAACAAAGATTGCAAATGTTATTAACACAATGTAATACATTAGTTTTCATGTAATTTGTTGTAAAATCTCCAATGGTACATTATATTAGTTATTTTGTTTAACAGTAATAAAAATAGCATTTTTGTTATCTTAAATATTAATGTATTTATCAAAGAATAAGATTTGAATCCAAATCCAGCTAGCTGTCAAAATGTACTCTGGTCTATTAAAGTTTGTAATGTAATATATTTGCTGGTCACAATTCTGTTAAGTAAATAAGTGCTCTGTGTTTTTTCTCTTTCAATTCATTTTTTTAAAATGTTTTTTGAATTTATTCCATTAATGTTCACAATTCTTCCAGTGCAGCAGAACAAAAAAAGCGGCTAGTCATATGGTCTCATAAGAACATTGGCACAGTTTAAATATCTATGATAGATATAACAGAAAATAGCTAAAACTGGGAAAAGAATTTTTATGGGCACAAGCTAAATAAAAAGACATTGTTTATTATTATTACTTATAGCCAGCATTATCTGAAGTTTCTTTAGATCTCAGTGCTCTTGCCTTTTGTTTTTATATGCCTTTTTTCCATTCCTGAATTTTTCCCATTTCTCAAAATCTACAGTAAATTCTAATTCATATATTTCTTTATTTTTTAAATAGAAGCATTGCACCAGTATCCTTGCTTCTAAATTAATTCTGATACCTTTGCCAATTAAATAAAAAAACTGAAATGAGATCAAGAGACTCTAAAATAGACAAAACTAATAGTATAAAGGCATTTAATTGCTTGCAAAGTTCTAAAATCTCCATACTAACACCAACAATATAATAATCAAATAATGGAGCATTGCATGATATGCTTTTTAATACCCCTTTGTGAAGGCTTCTGTTTGAGGCATACATTCTTCCCCATTGCCAGTTATGTTACTCCACATGTAGTTTTCTAACTTAGTTTTAAGGGTAAGTTTAAACTTTTAATTCAAAATCCTAACAAGCAATTTACTTTTTCTTTCTTTTTTATTGCATTTCCCTAAATTGCTATATGGTTTATTGAATACCAAATTTATTTATTTATTTATTTATTTATTTATTTATTTATTTATTTATTTATTTATTTATTTATTGGTTCGATTTACAGTATATGCCACCTTTCTCCGGAGACTCAGGGCTGCTTACAATGCGTTAAGCAATAGCCTTCATACTTTTGTATATATCTGCTTAGTAGTACTCTTGTAGAGTAAAACAATAGAAATGAAAATTACAAACATTCATTTAGAGAATTCCATAAAAATACATCTATATATGGCACACCCAAGCACTATAGTGTAGGATAATCTCCTATTATACTCATAACGGCTAACATTTTATTTTTAGTATTTCATAGATGATGTTGCTTTTGTAAGCCCATAGGATGAACAGGAATGGAAAATTTCATTACTCAATTACTTTTTGTAAAGTATATTTTTACGAAAAAAACCTGTTATCATTTTTTTACATACATATGCTAAGTAAAAACATGAAACTAAGTAATATCTATTCATGAATAATAGAAGGATATATTTGTTTCTGCAGTTAAAATAATATTTATAGCGTTTGATGAAACTAGTAAAACAACTTCAGCCCTTCTGTGCTTTTCTTTCTGATAACATGGCTATAAATAAAATTATATTTATTAAAATTTGTTGTTTACAGGTGCTCTATCATCAAATTAAAATAAATATGCCTTTCTACTAATACGAAACTTACAGTATATATCAGATCATCCAAAAAGGTAACTTTCCTCATAGGCTGATTATCTAAGGCAAAGCAGTTTTTCTCATCTTCAACCATGTTGCAGCTGAACATCATTTCTTAAATTTATAATGAGTTTAGGGAAATGCAAATTTCAGTTTTCTGTATAATATAGCAGTAATTGTACTAGTCTAGCTATAGCACTAGAAACTGTGTTTTCATTTGCTGTTTCCTGGGTTTTTCTTGATTTTTCAACTAGAAAGATAAGGCGTCGCTGTAGGCTACCACAATGATTCAATTCACAATGAATTCAGGCATCACTCTAACCCAAAATGTGATAATTGGGTTTGGGTTCACATGTACAAATTGATCCAATTTAGAACTCAATGTCTGCCCAGTGTTACTTATTCAACAACTACAAAAGCAGACTATGTATTGTTGTGAACAATTAACTCTGCTGTTCAATTGGATCATATATGTACATGAAAATTTTGAGATATACTTACAGGCCTTATGAGTTGGAAACTGAACATATTGCCTGAAGGATAAGTGTAGAAATAAGTCACAGAAAAATGGAACACTGTGCAGCAAATTGTTGGACTTTGTTTAGGAGAGAATGTAAGATAAATTATACAAATAATAACAAACTTAAAGCTTGGAATGGAAGGAAGAAGTTCATAAACATAAGATTAATGAGTGACATGGGGTTGGATAAAAACCCGTGAAGGAAACTTTCAAGTTCTTAATCTCTGAAAAAGCAATAATTCTTATAACTATTTTATTATAATGTTGTCTATATAAAACAGTTTGCTAACAATTAGCAAATAGTCTTAATAGTCTTTAATACTATTATTTAAGTATATGATACTGCCTCTCTATTTAAGCTTTTTGGGTGTCATCTGTCCAATTTAGGAAAAGACTACAATTTATAGTGCTTTGTGTCTATGTTTGCTCAATATAGTAAGGAAAAGAAAGAGTTAATGAGATTGTGTCTTTGTATCTGTGTGTGTGTGTATATTCGAAGATTCACCATTGTCTTTTGCCAGTTGCACATGACTTGTTAACCAGAACTTGATCTTTGATATGGTATTCATACCCAAGGAAACTGCTATTTTAGTTTGGAAAACCAGAGGAAGAAATAAGAGTCAGTTTGGTATAGTGGTTAAAGCACTGGACTAGAAACTGGGAAACTCTGAATTCTAGTTTTGCTGTTTGTATGAAACCAACTGGATGATCATAAGTCGTCATTCCGTCCCAGCCCTAGGAAGAAAGCAATGGCAAATCTTGCCAAGACAACTGCATAGAGTTGCCAAGTCAGTTGCCAAGACTGACTTGAGGGCATGTGGGGAAAAAAAGAAAGAAAGAAAGAAAGAAAGAAAGAAAGAAAGAAAGAAAGAAAGAGAAAGAGAGAGAGAGAGAGAAAGAGAAAGGAAGGAAGAAAGAAAGAAAGAAAGAAAGAAAGAAAGAAAGAAAGAAAGGGAAACTTATAAATTATTCTCTTCTCTGCCTTATCTTTTCTTGGAAAATTTAAAAATCAACAAAAGCTGACAGACTTATAATTGCTTTGCTTTCTGTTTACATCATTCTATAGTTTGTATAAGACATCTTTAAACCAAAATATACGGACAGAGATTAGCACCACTTTTCATACTGTGTGTCAAGTCATTGGATGATTTACATTTAGACCTAGATTATGCTATGGGTGGTGTCCATAAATATCATGAGCCCTATAATTTTGGTACATAAAAATTGCTGTTGGGAATATGATTTGGACTGAGAGAGAGAGCAACCTTATCAGTTTGTCTTGTCAGAATAAGCACATGCTTTCTAGATTTCAAATGCGACCAACAGTTAAAACGTTTGAAAATACCTGCTTTACAAGTTAGCCACCTACTTATTTTGTGTACTTCATTATATTAGCATTAATACAGATTAAAGGATTAACTATAAA